AAAAAAAAAAAAAAAAGAAAAAAAGATGGAGCAAGTCTCCTCAAAAAAGAAAAAAAAAAGAAGAAAAGAAGAGAAAAGATGGGTTACAACAAATGTAAGAGGATGAGGTAGGGTTAAGAGCCATGATGGAGTCTCCCACGTTCATCCCCCACCACCAGAGCGCAACGTGGATGTTCCACATATGGAAGACATGATCCTGGACTGTGAGTTAAACTGGCACAAGGCTTCCGAGGGCCTCACTGATTACAGCTTTTACAGGGTGAGGATGGCAACTTCTGCAACCCCTGAACTCCCTAGACCGCAATGCTTGTGTTCTGGATCCATGGGCCTGCACCCATGACTCTCATGACCCAGGAGGGTGGTCTAGTACGTGTGGTCTCTACTGACCTCTGGGGACCCCATGCCCTGACCAGTGACACCCTGGATATCCACCTCCCATCCTGAGGCCCTGTGATCGACTCACCCCAGTACTCCCCCAACCCCTGAATTCCCCAGGCCTCAGTGACCCCTTGAGCTTGGGTCTAGGTTTGGGGGAACAATACTGAGACCTTGGTGTCCAAGGGGAAAGAGCCCACCCTGACCAAGCCCATGGTGGGTCCAGAGGATGCAGGTGACTACCGCTGCGAGCTGGGCACCGTGAATTCCAGCCCAGCCACCATCATCTTTTTTCACGTCACAGGTCAGTGCTGTGGGGTTGAGAGAAGTGTAGGATTCAGGGTCCAGAGGGAGTAGGGGAGCTGGGGAACCGCTGCGGGGGCGTGGCCTCTGCGATAGGGGCGTGACTTCCTGTTGGGTGTGGTTTCAGGGCATGGGGGTGTGGCTTCCTGCCGGGGGCGTGGCCTTTGGCCCTGAGGACAGGGGTTCCCTTGGGTGTGTTCAGGCTTGACGCTGTTGGAGGCGTGATTATCCCTGGGATGGCTGGGTACTCTTACGGGCTGGCCTTTGCCAGGGCAGGAACTCCACGCCCTGCCAAGACTGCTCTTTACGCTTTCTCTAACAGTGTTGCCCAAAAGGGTCCAGGAGGAAAACCCGTCTCCAAACATCGTAACCCTGGGGGAGGCCAGCCCTACCCAGATCTCCGAGATGACCTCGGAGTCGTCCATAACCCTCCAGCCTCCGAAGCCAGACAGCATGCTGAAAGGCCGCCTTCTGGGGCTGCTGATCTGGGGCTCCGTAGCACTGATAATTGGCCTTACCTTTGCGTGAGCAACTCATTGAAGAAGGCAGGCTTGGCTTGGAGTGAGGGGCGAGGCTTCCAGGAACCCAATGCTGAAGCTGGTCTGGGCGCTACTGAGAACTGACAGCAGGACTTTCCCCGGGGTGGAGGGGCTTGCATAGGAGGCGAGGCTTAGATAGTTGTTAGAATAAGGTGGGTGTTGGGAGGGGTGTCCCCCACTCAGTGAGTAAGTACCTAACCTGGTTCCACCCCCCTGTCACCCCTAGGATATTTTGTCGAAGGAAGGTGTTCGATTTCATCAAGTCCTCACTGTTCGGCCTTGGTAGTGGAGCCGACGAGCAACCCCAGGTCCCCAAAGAACAGGACACAGATTCGATGGACCAATAAAGATTTATCTTGTTGTCTAAGCATCTGACTCACTCCCCGGGACGGGACTGATCCTAGCCTTCGTTTCCTCGAGAGGAGAGGTCTGGGGATGGGTGCCGTCCTGAGGGAAGAGGGGCAGGAAACCGGGACCCCTGGGTCCTGGAGGGGACCAATTGACTGCGATGTAATTCCAGAATCAAGGAATGGGGCAGGGCCAGCCCTACCCAGATCTCCTCCCCCAGGCCTGGTCTCCTCACAGGACGCCCCCTCCCCGCTCTTCCTGCCGGGTTTCCTCTTGCCTTTTCCTGTCCCCCACCCAGTGCTGGGAGCCGGGGCAGAGGCAAGGCTGACCGAGAGCAGTGGAACTGACCCAGGCCAGCGGAGCCAGGGCCTCCGGGTGTGCCGGACCCGAAGCAGGGTAAGAGCCAGGGACCCAGCAGCCCATACCACCCCTCCCTGGACCCCAAGACTCAGTCCCCCAGCCATCTTCCATCCCAGGATCCAGGAGTCCAGGGTCCCATCCCACTCCTCCCCCTGGACTCGGGAGTCTGAGCCCCAGCCCCCTCCTCCCTCTGACTCGGAGTCTAGGTTCCCTCCACCCTATCCCCACAAGAGTGCCTTAGGAGTTGGGGCCTTACCCACCCACCCTTAGGGCCATGCTATCTGGTGAACGGAAGGAGGGCGGAAGCCCTCGCTTCGGGAAGCTTCATCTCCCCGTCGGCCTGTGGATCAATTCCCCCAGGAAGCAGCTGGCCAAGCTGGGAAGGCGCTGGCCCAGCGCGGCCTCTGTCAAGTGAGTGCCATCTATGCAGAACTCCTCCCCCTGCACACCTGCCTCCTGTCTGTCCCTGTTCACGGCCCAGTCCCTGCAAAGGGTTGCCTCCGGTCCTCGTCCTGAATTGGGCAATCGAGCTGGTGGGCAGGGGGAGACAGTGGGGCACAGCCATACCAGGGCGCGGCAAGGGGAAGAGCTAGGCCTGGAGGTGGAGGGAGGCCGGATGGGCACGGGGATGGTGACAAGAAGGAGCGGGGAATTGATTCACCTTCCTTCCTCCCCTCCCTGCTCACCTCTTGGAATTTCCTTCTGTGGGACTTGCCTTTATTTATTTATATATTTATTTATTTCTGTCTTTGCCTCGCGTCTCTGTCCTCACCCCCAACCCCGCCGCATCCATCCACCCTGGGTCCCTGTCCTTCTCTCTCTGGGCCTCTGCCCACTTCTCTCCTAATCTGTCCCCCGCCCCCGTCTTGGGATGTCTTTCTGGGTCTCTCTCCCGCGACTCTGCTCCCCGGCGGACTCCCAGATCTTCTTCGTCGGACACGGGAAGCCGTAGCAGCGAGCCGATACCCCCGCCTCCGCCGCACGTGGAGCTGCGGCGAGTGGGCGCCGTCAAGGCGGCCGGGGGAGCCTCTGGTAGCCGCGCCAAGCGCATCTCCCAGCTTTTCCGGGGCTCGGGGACCGGGACCACGGGGTCCGGCGGCGCGGGAGGCCCTGGGACCCCGGGTGGCGCGCAGCGCTGGGCTAGCGAGAAGAAGCTGCCCGAGCTGGCGGCGGGCGTGGCCCCCGAGCCCCCGCTGGTCACCCGCGCCACGGCGCCCCCGGGGGTCCTCAAGATCTTCGGCGCGGGACTGGCATCCGGCGCCAACTACAAGAGCGTGCTGGCCACGGCGCGCTCCACGGCTCGCGAGCTCGTGGCCGAGGCGCTCGAGCGCTACGGCCTGGCCGGCAGTCCGGGCGGCGGCCCCGGCGAGAGCAGCTGCGTGGACGCCTTCGCTCTGTGCGACGCGCTGGGCCGGCCGGCGGCGGCGGGCGCGGGGAGCGGCGAGTGGCGGGCGGAGCACCTGCGCGTGCTGGGCGACTCGGAGCGCCCGCTGCTGGTGCAGGAGCTGTGGCGGGCGCGGCCCGGCTGGGCGCGGCGCTTCGAGCTGCGCGGCCGCGAGGAGGCGCGGCGCCTGGAGCAGGAGGCCTTCGGGGCAGCAGACGGCGAAGGTGAGCGGCGGGCGGGGCTCTGGGGCGGGGACCCCGGGCCGGAGAGGCGGGGCCGTGGGCGGCACCTGGGCGGGGCTCGTGGGGGGCCTGGGCGGGGCTTGTGTGATGGGGGCGGGGCCCGCGGGAGGGGACTGAACGGTTTGTGGAGGACTCTAGCCAGTGGAGGCAGGGCTGGAGCCGGGCCGGTGGCGGCCAGATGGTGGGAGGGGCGGGGACCTGAGAGTTGGGTGGGGCTTGTTGATTGGGTGGGATTTTTAGAGGGGTCGGGCTTGGGGCTTAGGCGGGGCGGGGGCTAGTTGCTGATGGTGGCTTGGAGTGGCCTAAAGTGGCTCCGAATTGGGGTTGCGGACTTCTGCATGCATTTCAGGCTGCCTTGGAGGAGGCAGGGTGTGTAGCGGGGTCTGTGGAGTCCAGTGGGATGGGCAGGAGACTGCAGGGGGCGGAGGGATCCGCCCTGTGTGGTAGGTTAGGGGACACTAGCAATTTGCTGATCTTTGAAAGTCTTTCCCTGCCCAATCTCCACTTTCTGGTCGGGTTTCTGCGAGGTCTGTTAGGTGCAGCTTAGTGGCTTAAAATGTACTCTCCTTTGATGGGGTCTCTTGGGGCCGATTGGGAGAAAGAGAAATCAATAGTGCAACTGTTTTCATACTGAATATCGACAAGGATCTTTTTGAATTAAAGAGCCAGTCCTGGCCGGGTTTGGTGGCTCACACCTGTAATCCCAGCACTTTGGGAGGCTGAGGCGGGCGGATCACCTGAGGTTGGAGTTCCAGACCAGCCTGGCTAATATGGTGAAACCCCGTCTCTACTAAAAATATAAAAATTAGCCGGGCGTCGTGGAGCACGCCTGTAATCCCAGCTACTCGGGAGCCTGAGACATGAGAATCGTTTGAACCCGGGAGGCAGAGGCTGCAGTGGGCCGAGATGGCACCACTGCACTCCAGCCTGGGCGGCAGAGCGAGACTTCGTCTCAAAAAAAAAAAAAACAGGCCGGGCGCGGTGGCTCACGCCTGTAATCCCAGCACTTTGGGAGGCCGAGGTGGGTGGATCACGAAGTCAATTGATCGAGACGATACTGGTCAACATGGTGAAACCCTGTCTCTACTAAAAATACAAAAATTAGCCGGGCGTCGTGGAGCACGCCTGTAATCCCAGCTACTCAGAAGGCTGAGGCAGCAGAATTGCTTTAACCCAGGAGGTGGAGGTGGAGGTTGCGGTGAGCCGAGATCGCGCCATTGCACTCCAGCCTGGGTAACAAGAGCGAAACTCCGTCTCAAACAAACAAACAAACAAACAAAAAAACCCAAAAAAACAACAAGCCACAGAAAACAAAACAGTACTCCAGAAAAAGAAAAAGGAATTGGAGAGACCTAGGTGCTGGGGGAGTAAGCACTGAAAATGTTGGGAGCCCTGCAGAGCCTGTGGGCGGGGCCTTTCGGGGTGGGGCCTGTGGTGGGGCGGGGCCCGTTGTGGGGCGGGGCTTGTGGAAGAGCGTGGTCTGGCGCACTCAGTGTTGGGTCCCGCGAGGAGTGGTGGTATGTAGTGCGTGAGTCTCTGTGTCAGGAGGCAGCTCTGCGAAGTAGGTTGAGGCGGTTCTTGAGCAGGGCCTATATGGCCGGAGCCTAGAACCGGAGACACCTGCGGAGTGAATGAATGCAGGCTCCTAGGCCAGGCCTCCGCTAAGATGGGCGGAGCCTCTGAGGGGTAGTCCTTGGATAAGACGGCCTTAGGCTGGGTTGGCTGCTAAATGGAGTCATACGGAAAAGGAAGGGGCTGGAGGAGGAGGTCGTTGTAGAGACGAAGGAAGGCCTTGATCTCAGAGGAGGCCAGGCCTGGAACAGAAGGTAGAGTCAATGGTGAAATAGCTGGTGCTGGACCGCGCCTGGCAGGGGTGGGGCCTGGCGCGTTGAAAGCCCGGGTCTGCTGCGGGAGCCCTCTCACCGCTTTTCTGTATCTGAGCCTCCCTTTGGAAGATAGGATGTTATAGCAATTAAACTAATGGGCTTTGATCTCGGGTTTGGATTCCAACCCATTCTGTGCCAGTTAATCTCAGTAAAATCCTAGGTGAGGGCCGGGTGCGGTGGCTCACGCCTGTAATCCCAGCACTTTGGGAGGCCGAGGCGGGTGGATCACAAGTTGAGGAGATCGAGACCATCCTGGCCAACACGATGAAAGCCCGTCTCTACTAAAAATACAAAAAAATAAATAAAAATTAGCCGGGGGTGGTGGCACGCACCTGCAGTCCCAGCTGCTGAGGAGTCTGAGGCAGGAGAATTGCTTGAACCCAGGAGGCGTAGGTTGTAGTGAGCCGACATCGAGCCACTGTACTCCAGCCTAGGCGACAGAGCGAGCTCTATCTCAAAAAAAAAACAAAAAACAACAAAACCCTAGGTGAGGATTCAATGGGATAATGCATTCAATGTATAAAGGGCCTAGCACGGGACTTGGCATAGAGTAGGTGCTTGATAAAGAATGATTATAATCATTGTCTCTCTCCTGCGCCCCCCCGACAAAGTTTTTTTTTTTTTTTTTTTTTTTTTTTTTT